GGGCAAAACGAAGGGCAAAAAGCCCCCCCCCCCCCCCAACAAAAAAAATAACACAAATGAAAGAAAGCGAATGAAGCACTATCTAATGTATGGCGTACAACTGGAGAATGCTAACGTCTTCTTCCACTTATAGCGATTCGCCCACTCTGATTGCCAATTAGTTCCTGTGCAAATTTTGTTTTAACCCCGTGCGTCAAAATGATGGAGCAAGACTTTCTTGCTAAATTTATGGGAGATGGCGACGTAACCCATCTAATGTATGGCGTACAACTGGAGAATGCTAACGTCTTCTTCCACTTATAGCGATTCGCCCACTCTGATTGCCAATTAGTTCCTGTGCAAATTTTGTTTTAACCCCGTGCGTCAAAATGATGGAGCAAGACTTTCTTGCTAAATTTATGGGAGATGGCGACGTAACCACAAATCGCCGCAGGTCGAGGATGTCGTAAACCGAGAATCCCCTGTATTGAAACACGTAAGATTAAAAGGGTTAAAGTCTGGTCAGGTGTTGTTATACGTACATCCACCAGGTTGCTGGGGTCTCTCATCATGGCCAGACCAATGTTCCTCCAGATGTGATGGTTGTTCTCGTCTACGATGGCCTGCTCCAGGTTTCTGTCATAACACAGACCATTCATTTCAGCCTTGACTGTAAAGTTGTGAACTTATAACATAAATGATACGTACATGAAGCCATCTTTGGATTCATGGACTTCAAGTCCATTAGTGTGATTTGCGCCAATACAGACACACGCACGAGGCTGCAACACACACACAAAAATAAGATCAGTGATTGGCCAGAGAGAAAATGTTTGTTGTGCGATTGGTTTTGTTGATTGTTGGTTGGTCACCTGATGTTGGTTGATTGGCTAATCTGTGTCATCAATTAAAAGTAGCTTTGTTTAATATCAGCCCAGCAATATTATCAGCATAATTATGTCATTAATATCGGTAAGAGTATTTTTTTCCGATAATGAAAAACTGCTAACGCCATGCCTGGGTTTTAGCCCAGATGATGTGACCTAAAAATGGTTTTGAAGTGAAAGTAAATCTAATGTATGGCAAATCTGACACAGCACACCACTGCAAACGGCTGCATATATCGGTATCGGTTGGTATCGGGATCGTGTCTAGACAATATTGGCGTATCGGATATCGGTAAAAAGTAAATATCGGACATCCCTTGTTTAAAGTCTATATAACATGGCTAAAGATGACTCAGTTCATCTTCACCTAATAATAAATGGTGTATTAGCGCTTAGATCTGTGTGTCATTGTACACCACCAGTTGATATTTCATAATCCAGTCAACAGCATCCTGTGGCATGATTCGTAGTCTTTCACAGGTTTGGTGATTTAATATTAGCTTGTTGGTAAATCAGTATTTGATTTTGTTGTTCTTGCCATAATTTTGCTGGCTTCTTCTACCAGATCAGGGTCTAACTCTTTGCCTGAAATTATTTTCCAGGACTTTTCTTAGAACACTTTCAGCCGCTACACAGACAAGCCTCACAAGAAAAACCTCACACTATAAACTAAAGTTACAACAGACACGCAGGAGCAACTTAGGATAAATAATCTTCCTGGATAACCTCACCATTTCCAGTATTTTTGGACCTTCTTTTTCTAATTTTCAACATTTTTTGTGGAAAATTACCATGTTACAGTTCAGTCTGATGGTTCAATGATAGTTTGATGAAAGTTAGTTGTTGTTGATTTGCTGGCTAACAGTCTCTCTTGACTCTTTGACATCACTGTTCACTGTAATTGTTTGGTCACTTCTCTGTGAGGTACTTCGTCGGTTCATTTCAACAGTGTTAGATTTCAACAACATATTACTAAAATAACGACACGAATCATGCATGAACACTACCTTGATAATGTTGCTGTACGCTGCCAAACCCAAAGCAATACTGCTGCCAAGAGAAAGACCCAGAATTCCTACACTGTCTGGATTCACCTTGGGATGGTCCTGGATGATGCGAAATGCATTCTGTTGGGGAAAAGGGAGGCACAATTTTGTTTTGTGAAACTTCTTCTTAATTAGAAATTATATTATTTACCGAGTCTTAGAACCAAGTGTTTGGCATTTGTGTTTAAAGTCAGCAGTTATCTGCAGCAGTTTCTATAAAAAATTGCACAAACCTCAAAATACTGAAATTTTAGATTAGCTGTCTGCAGTTCTCCAGGTTTAAAATACTCCAGTGCCAAAGCAGTGTAACCATGAGATGCTAACAGAGCAGCGCGATACTCGTGAAGTCCGCCGCCACCGCCCCACATGTCCAATATGCCAGGGAAGGGTCCAGGACCTAAGCAGAGGGAATAGGAGAGATTCCAGTTTTAACAGATACAAAAGGCAGTACCAGGAGTTAGGTGGGTCCAAACAATTTGAAACTCCATTGAGAGATTTCCAACCTGACCATCAAAAAGACAAATGTTGAACTCCAGGATGGAGGTAGGAGTGGGGATTATGCGACCCCCATGGCCTAAGGTTGTCTTAAAAGTCTATGGCATAGAGTCTTTAGTAATGTTTAGGGTGGATTGGTTAAATTCAGTGGTCGAGACCCATGTGTTTACAACATGCACTTCACAATGCTTTTTCTCTAATTCTATTCAAACGTTGACCATAATCTTCATCTACCACAATTGAATTGGACGACCCCACTTTATGGGTTCAACGAAATTCCAAACATATTAGTCCTGAGGTCAACCTGTCGACTGACTGTCCTACATGTCCACTACACCTGGAGGTATGAAGAGTGTCCCTCGCACTCCATTCTCGTTGACTTCTATCCTCTTGACACCAGGAGCCATGTACCAACGCTCTGTTATGGCCGACGCCAAAGGCTTTTTATCCCTAAAGCCATCATGTCCACTGTACACGGAGATGTTGACCACCAGGGGTGTGCACACGTCCTTCTTTCTTAACCTGTTGTGCAAAGATGCGTGACGGAAAAACATCTGCGTGTAACCCTTCAAATCGTAACACTTTTTAGGTTTTTTACTTATTGATTGGACATAATTGAATGAAAATGCAGGTTTCATCACCTGAGGCCCATGCGGCTTCCTGGCACCGGACACATGCTCCACAACAAACCCATAGGTTCAACTCCGGAGTAAGTGCCCCCAAAACTCAAATGTTTGGAAACTGCAAAAGCAAGAAGTTAAGAAAAAAAAGCAGACACTGGATGTGAAATTAGAAAAATCGAATTTAATGAAGACAACTACTTACCAGACACAGTTCCATTATGGTCACTAATGTAGTGACCATACGCCTCCCAATCATCCTGGTCATCTGAGTAATGGTGCGATTGCACTGTCACTGGTGCTGCTGGAGGTAGGTTCTCCACCAGTACTGAGAACCTCTCATCCATCATTGCCCGAACTGGGGCAACAGAGATGATGGGAGCAAGAGCCCGCAACATTATCAACAATCCTCTGTAAAGAAATATATAGGTGTTAAATACGTTACACACCAGGACACAGTCTGACATACTAGTCAATTATTAGAGGTAATCTTGTAAATCTGGTCACTCTTCCAGTTTACTGGGATAAACTGTGACATCACACATATTGCCTTCCTCATTCAGTTTCATATAATTCTGGATGTGAAAACATCTGTTTGAATTTACCACAATGAAGAAAAAAAATCACCACAGGACTGTGAACCTAATCAGGTAGAGATGAGAATTACATCCAAAAGAGTTGTTTTAAATTTAAGAAATGTTTTGCTTTTTCTCCCAATTTTTGTCATTTGGGGCTTTTTATGTGGAAAACACTAGACTTTTTAACTGATATTCTGCTCCAACCTGTTTTAATACTGTATTTTTTTTCCTAATAATCCACATGATGCTGGAGTCAAATTACCTGGCAGATAATCCAAATAGTTAATATTTGTGTACCATCCGGGAAGCCAGTTAGATTATTGTTGTTGTTGTTTATTAAGCAAGTTTTTGGTTTTGAATAAAAAAATTTGCATAAATGATAAAATTCATCAAATGTTCAAGAGGGCAATGCTCAGAGTTAACATAATAGCAAATAACTGATTTGAGGTTTAGCAGGAATACAGACATGGCAGCATTGATAAAAATGAGATCCAAGATTCTTCCCAATTTTTTTCGATATGGGACAATAATAAAATTAATGCGAAACTGATTCAGTATTTCATCAGCGCAGGAGTCGTTACAGCTTTTAATTTGGCATTGATACAGTTAACAGGGAATCGATTAGCTGCAGGCCAAGTGTAGCAGGTTACTCTGGTTTAACCCGCGCGTTTAACTCTGGTTTAACTTTTTATACTACTTTCATTTGTTGCAGACTGACACGTAGGTTTATATTTAAACATTTGTTTCGCGACACAAAAAACATTTCTAACACTAAAAGAAACACCACCTGCTTCTAAAACCAAAACTAGCACATTAAAAGTGGTGATAGTTGTCAAACATGGTTAGTTGTTGTCAAAAGAAGGACAGATAGATGGACGATAGATAGTAAATGTCTCACTGCTTAACCGTTACGATGTTTTCCCACTCTTAAATTAGTGCTGAGGTCGTCCTTCTCGAAGACCACACGGGGAGATGGGAAGAAAACATTGAAGTGCAAACTACAGATGTCAGTTTTAACCTGACTAGGTATGTCATTAAGTTTTTCAAGCAAACATGAGAAGGTGCTGGACGGAGCGATCCATTTATTGAAAGTAGCGAAACCGTCATATGTACTCCAGTCTTTTACTTATTGCCAGCCTGATGGTATCGCTACAATATATTCATCCTCTCTCTTCTATATTTACTGCAATCATCCTGTTCATCATATTTTTATATACTATCCACGGTTTATATATATAGTACACATTTCGGTTTTATTTAGCTCCCCTTCACTTCTGTCTATGTGGTTTTTCCCGGGCCGTGACCTCATGTCACGTGCTCACACTACATGTAAATGTAGTTCATTTGTTTCTTTCGCTGTGAAAACATAGTTGTATACTATAGCGTGTTGCTGCCACACTTACGTGAAAAGTTTATTGTAATGACGTGAAACTGGGCCTTTTTTTCCGCCCAGTGTGGCAGCAATGCTGTTCCTTAGAAAGCAGTGGGGAGTTTTCTCAACACTGCCGAACTTCAAGCCTGTTGGAGTATAGTACTGCAGTCCAGTACTAAAGGAGTACACACACCGAAGCTAACATTTGCTATAACAGTTATAACAGCAGACCAGGTAAAGCTGCCATTTTAACTTTTGTTGTTGTTCATGTTCAAGTGTATTAACACACTATTCTACCATAATTAAATAAATAAGACCTTACTGTAATAATACTAGCTGACAACAACGCCGTTAGTCGGCATTACTTTCATTCAATTTTAATATCATTCACTATTGTGGATGTCGTGGAGCATACTCTCGAGCCGACACGAATTTTAAGAATTTCCTTCCACAGCTGGTTTTCTGATACGTCAATAACGTTAATAACGTAGAGTACTAATATTTAGCAAATCTAGGTTTAACTGTAACTATTTCCATCTATGTGTTATCAGTTAGCACTGCCTAAAAGGTAATGCACAAAGATTTTCAGCCTTCAGCCAAGTGATTTAAATGCAATTTAAATGGCTTAATAAAGTTGTGTTTTAATAAACTTCAAATGTATAGTACCTATTATTAGGTAACAAAGAGTTCTTCATAAAACCACAAACACTAAACAAAGGTTATCCCTGCATTTTCAATATAGTATTGTTTTCCCTTAACAACAAAGATTACATACATTAACAGCTAACTTTTATTAGCTGAACTGATTCACAGAGTAGAAGTCCTGATTATTTAAAACGTCATGTGACTTCTTGGCAGGACTTCAAGAAGTCCATGAATGCACACAGAAACAGTATCGCACAAATCAAATATTGTGTAAAAGTAGAATCCTGCCATACTTACAGTGTTCGCTCTTGACAGTTTAAAAAATAACTCACACCTGAGGCTCAGTGCACCTGAGTGAACTTTATTCTCAGGTTGAAAAATCTCCAGTAATCTGAACTTTAACACAGTAAGTGATGCAACAGGCACCAGCCACCTTAAGCCTAGAATGTCACCTTAAGCCTAGAATGAATATATATAAATATATATATATATATACTGTATATACTGTATATATTATATAAATATATATGTATATATATATATAATACACACACATATAAATACATATATACATACATATATATATAAATATATATATAGTGCAGTACTGGATAGTTATTTAAGCATGTTAACAAACAAATAGTACAGTGTAATTAAATTGAAGGCTAAATAATTTTTTTAAATTTCCATAAGTAATAAAAAAATACAAATACATTTGCTGATGTAAAAACACTTTTTAAAGCCGTCTTTTCATTATATTGTTCGATATTGTGATGAGTGACTCAGCAGTATTTAGACTCCGCATTACAGGTTTTTTACAGATACTTACACGACCAATAGAGGTTACACTGTTAAGTCTTAAATACTGCGATTTTCTTAACTTTTTGCTGATTGCATATATCACGCAAACGACTATTACTGTTTTCATAATGTTTGTTTATGGGCCGGTTTCGCTCATATACAGCTGCATTTGCTATATTTAGCCACTAGATGTCTCCAGTCTTTTACTTGTTGCCAGCCTGATGGTATCGCTACAATATATTCATCCTCTCCCCTCTATATTTACTGCAATCATCCTTTTCATCATATTTTTATATACTATCCACGGTTTATATATATAGTACACGTTTCGGTTTTATTTGGCTCCCCTTCACTACTGTTTGTGTGGTTTTTCCCGGGTTGTGTTTTTGATTTTTTAATTTTGTAGTGGGGCGCATTCAAGCAGCAAGTTATTGTGAATGAATCTCTTTATAACAAGTGCATGTTTATTGTTTGAATATTTTTTAAATTCTCCCCAGTATATCTGTATCGTACTGCAAGACAAAATATAGCAATACATCTTAGTATTGATATTTTGGAACATCCCTATTATTTAAATATGTATTCATGTAATTTATATTAATACAACATTTGATATACAGACCTTTACTCCCAGATGTAGTTGTCTTCATTTTACACGTTCATTACTTGACAGCAGCTAACTACAGAAGCGTTACATAAGACAATAACAAGTGTTGCCCTAAACACAAAACAGGCTCCTTTAATGGGATCAGTTTTTGTTCATTGTTCTGATTTAAAAAAAAGGCAAATGTTTCCCCATCTTCCTTCCTGCTGGAGCGTTTTACAGGAGCTGAAGGAGAAACATCTCAGTGTGAAACTCACACATGTTCTAGGTAAAGATAACGACGCCTCTGTTCAGAACACAGTCAAATAAAACTGTGTCGCAGCAGGAAAAAAACCACCAGGAAATTAGAAAAATGACAGAGCAGCATGTATAGAGAAGAGGACGAGGGACACATGAAGACACTGTTTTAGATTCCTGGCTTTGTAGGAGTCTTGAGTCCTCCATCCACCCATCCATCACAGCTGAGAATTTATCAAACCACCAAGTCCACAGTGTTTAGGTCCAAAACTGATCTCTGGCTTCATTTTGGTTTTCCACTGCCCTCAGCTGTTTCTCATTTTCTCTTCACTTACTCTGGCTGATCCCACCTTTTCACCCCTTGAGGTCACCAGGGTGCGGTATCTGCTTTTTGTCAGTATGCTTGCTAAGTCAAAATAAGTCACAAATCTTGTAACGTTTTCCCTTGTATTACTTTTTCGAAAGCTTTGGTCTAAAACAGCTCCATAACTGGTATAAATCTAGTTTTTATTCATCAGTTTGTATCGTAGAATCAGTGAAACCAGCATAAAGCACATATAAACTTTAAAATTTAATTTAAATTCAAATGTAAAATTAAATATTATAATTACTAATGAGCTGGTTTTGGTCCCCAGGCCGTATGTTTGACACCCCAGGGTTTAAAATGTGTAACATTTGAATCAGACCAATCAAACTCTGGAGCCTTCGTCATCCATGATGAACCTGTGATGGCATTGGTCCTGCACCTACGGGGGTTAAACCAGGTCACGGGGACCTCGCTGAACCTCAGATTTGTGGACGTGGAGGTGGCTTGAGCCTAATTGAGTTTTCCATCAAAGGAAATCACAGATCTTTAGATCATCTGGTTCAGGTTCAGCCAGAGGTTCTGTCTTTAGCTCAACCTCCACAGATGGAATGTGTTTCAGGAATCAATTTCAAGGAATCATGCAGACCCCTGCATCAGCCGGATAAAATACTTTTTAGATTCTCGTTGCTGAGTATGCAAAGAGAGTAAAAATTTGCTTCCTCAGAAAACGCTCAGATTTGGGTTTGAGTTACCATACACTAGCAAAACCTAAATGAAGCGAGAATTTGTTTAATTTTTATGCACCCCCTACTGATCAAACATTGTCACCAACAATTGCTCTCAAAAATGACAACAATCATTATGTATAAGATCAGGGAATAACATTTAGCTTTATTTACAATATGTGCAACATTATATAGATATTTATTAAGAGAAACATAACAACAATATATTTAGCATAAATACAATAACTTTACATGAACATGAGGGTAAAGAAATGACATGCCGTCAGAAACTGTCATCTTTAAAAATGTGTCTCTATGTGCTTTTGATAAGCTGTACATCATAAACATAAATTAGCCTTTAACAGAGGTAGTATTGTTTTCAAAAGTGCTCTTTTTGAATTGTGAAATCACACAAAGGCTGCTACTGCTGCCCCCTGTGGTCAGTTTGTGTCAGTGAGGTAAATCTGAACAAATGAATTCCAATAGCAAAGTAATAAATTAACATATTTGAATATTTCTGTTGAAAATGTGGATGTCTAACAGTGTGAAACCTCAACAAAGACCTTAAACGTTTACAGAGACCTCGTCATTTCCTGATGGTTTCTGGACACAGAAAACAAACTAGAAACTCGGACTTCTACCAAACCGTACAACCGCAAACTGTAGAAGACAAGGCAGTTACTGTGTATGACAGAAAATACTACAGAGATACAAAGATAATAAAACAAACGTCTTCTTATTGTGGTCAAAAGCACACTCACATTATTTAACAACATTTACAATAACAACCATTGACAAAGACCACTGACGGAAATATTGTGAAAACTGTTGATGTCACACTCTGGTTTAGACTAATGAAAATAGTGCAAGGGTGCTAAACTTCTAACTTCTATTTATTTTTAAATGTTGTTTTTTATGGGTCGAGGGCCACTTCTAGCCCACAAACCCCCAACATCTGGCCTGTGACTAGATGTCAAATAATTTTAAATATTTATTTTTAAATGTTGTTTTTTATGTTTGTTAATTAAAATTCTTTAGACAATCATACGATAACAGGGAAAAAATATTTCTACTTGCTGTTTGCAATGTTGTTATACCAGTGGTTTTTTGGCGGTTTTTTTGTGACCCTATTTTCATCTTAACAAATTTCTGGCGCCTCCAGAGACAATTTCTTTTCTAGAATTAGAAATCATCAAATAATTAATGATTATTTTAGGAAGAACAATATTTTTTATCCATCTATCAGGATTTTTTTATATCCATTTGCTAGGCATTTCAGGCAACCCCATTTGAATTCCAGGCGACCCCACGCGGGGTCCTGACCCCAAGGTTGAAAAACACTGTTATACTGCTGTATTATTATATATATTTCTTTATATTAAACAAAAACTACTTTTTCTAAGGGCTCTTAAGAATAAGATGATGGTAGCAACAGTGGTCCTCAGGTCAGAGTTTGGGAACTTTGGTCTAGTGGTTAGGACGTAGCTGGGACCTGGGGACAGTTTTTCGTAACAAAATCAGAATCCTTGAGAGGCCCAGTAATTCGTGGGCCTTGCAGGCGGGACAGCAGTGTAGTACGGCGAATCCTTGAGAGGCTCGGTAATTCGTGGGCCGTGCAGGCGGGACAGCAGTGTAGTACGGCGGATGCTGCTGTCTGAGTCCTGGTGTCCCAACTTGGTCCTGAGGCATCTGCAGCACGGAAAGCTGCCGGCGAAGTCGGACAGGAGGTGACCACTGAAGATCATGTAGATCCAGGGGTTACAGCAGCTGTTGAGGCTGGCCAGCAGAGCTGAGACTGTCACAAAGGTGTTCTCAGAGTCTGTAGGGAGAAACAAGAGACGCCTTTGTTATTTTTAATTTTTCAACGAAAAATTAGCTGTTTCAAAAATGCGAAGTTTGGACTGAAAATTGAGTTTGGACTTGGAGAAGAAATGTAAAAAAAAACTCGTGCTACATCCACCTTATCACATTTGTGTTGGAATTCTTTGTTCAGATTTACCTCAAGGACACAAACTGACCACAAGAGGCAGCAGAGGGCAAAATCACTGATTTCTACTATTAACTTTGTTGTACGTAGGACTCCAGTTATTGTACTTCTTAAATGAATTGTTCAATACATTTTAAATAAAACACAAAGTTGATATCTAGCAAACTTTCTTTTTTTAATTCTGATGAAATGCTCTTTATTTTACTTTTGTTGTAGTCAACATTTTGTCCGTTCTGGTTAAAATGGTTCGATGTGCTTCACTCCATATAATGTAAAAACTATCACATGCTTTTCAATCTTTTTACTTAAGCCATTGCTGATGTCGGCGCTTCAGTTCAGTGAGTCATGGCCACCTTCAAAAATCCATCTAACCCTGTGAATAATAACAGCAGCGGCAGAATGACTCGCAGCAGTTGCTGAGGCTTTTTTTCCGCCAACGCTTTAATGAATTTCTTCCGATTGATGAGAGAAGCTTTCATTCTGAATGTTCAGCATCAGAAGTAAAGAGGTCTCTCGACTATCTCCTGAGCTTGAAAAATCCCTGCCTTGTTTATTTATTTATTTTTTAATTTATGGTAAACACTGTCTGTAATGTCATAACAGTGGATTTATTTCACATCTTTACCAGAGCGTATTCAACACAGGATGTATGAAAAGTGGAAACATTAACATTGTAAACATGTTTTAATTTAAAATTGAATGTGTCTGTTAATTTAAATTACCACTAGGACTCAGTTTAAATTACAAACTACAGGAGGTCGTCGACTTATGTCGCAGTTGCGTTCCTACTGTGCCCTTAAAATTGATCACACCGAAATCTTCACCGTAAGTTGGAATTCACATACTGTATATCAGTACCTATGTCGCTCACCTACGCTAACACGGTGGTAGCTTCGTAATCTCTGACATAAAAACATCAGGAAAATCTGACGTACACCTGGAAGTCATAAAAAAAAACACAAACGAAAGACTGCAAATGTAGCACAATAAAGAAGGACTCACGAGGGATTAATAAAGTGTTATCTATCTGTCCAAGTCAAAGAGATCACATGGTTTGGATAGAGTTATTTAGGTTTATTGCTGTTGAATAAAAATGTATCCTAACTGGTTGAAATCACATTCAAGCCAGAGTCCATAGAGAAAATCAATGATTTTAGCTCACAGGGCCGTTCTTCTGCTGCCCCCGGTGGTCAGTTGGCAAAGTCACAGTCACAATGCGGTTCCACAAAGCTCTCGAAATAAATCACTACGACTGTATGATATGATTATGATTAGAGTTACTCATGTGTATTAATACCAATACACTCTTTTAGAAATCTTTCAAATAAACATGATGAGTAAATATGAAATAAATTAAAGCAGCAAAAATTAAAGCAGTCATTTTGGAGCCTCACCGTGCCAGGATGAGTCGTTTTGGAGCCTCACCGTGCCAGGATGAGGACCTGTCCCAAACCGACCACATCTGCACCGTGAAGAACGGTGCCCAGCAAACCACATATGCCACGACGATCACGAAGGTCATCTTCACCGTTCGCAGTTTGGCTCTGGAGATGGAACTGACGCTGCTGACGGAGCTCCGGCCAAGGATTCCACTCTTGGTGGGCTCAGCGACTGTGCTCAAGCTTCTTCTCCCTCGGGTCTTGTACTTGAGGTTCCACCAGATGGTGTGGCAGATGAAGCCGTAGCAGATAACCAGCACCAGCACGGGAACCAGGAAGATTCCCGTTGTGATCCAGGTGATGTAGGCTGGCAGGCCCCAGGGTTCCACGAAGTGACCCCAGCAGTCGTAGACGGCAGAGCCCGGGTAGACCTCGCTCAGGGAGAAGATGAAGTACTGTGGGCTGCTGAGGACCAGGCTGCACGCCCAAGTACCGCCGATCATGATGTAGGCGCGATGTGTGGGTTTCTGTAGTGTCTGCAGCGGGTGGCAGATGGCAATGTAACGGTCCAAAGTCATCATTACCATCATGTAGGTGGAGGCAAACATGCCCAGAACCTGCGGGTTTACATGACCAAAGAAGTTTAGAAGACCAAAGAAAGCACAGGGAGAGCACCGTGCTTTTGTTGAGCCGTACACTTTTACAGAATACAATTCTACATTAAAAACAATATATTTTCAAATGTAAACGTGTGATCCACTAATTGAGGGCGTTATTCATCTGCAAACTGAACCTTTGCTAATCTTAACTCAGCTGTTCCTTTATAAAGTTTGACTCTATCATAGAACCTTGGAAACGTACTTGCAGGTGTTTGACGATACGACATAGAAAGTCCGGACCGTAGAACCGGTATGTGATCTCCCAGCAAAGCTGAGGCAGCACCTGGAAGAACGCCACCACCAGGTCGGCCATGCTCAGATGGCGCATAAACAGATGCATGCGTGACGGTTTTCTGCGGGTTCGGTGCATGGCCAGGAGAACGCTGAAGTTCCCCAGAACCGCGGCTACGAAGGCTACGCTCAGAACCGTTATCTCGATCTTTGCCACCTCCTCGTTCCGTCCGAACGGGTCCGAACCGTTTCCACGACTCACATTTCTGGTCAGTGTTGTGCACAGCTGAGAATCAAAATCCGTCAGGTTTCGGTCCAGGTCTGAGTTAAAGCCATCGGTACCGTTTCCGCTTTCGGTGTAGTTAGAAAAAGAACCGGTGGAGGAGGAGGAGAGCATGGTGGTGTCCGGAGCTCCAGGCGCAGCTTCATGCGCTCGTGGTGCGTAAAAGCCGACGACGGTAAAGAGTGTGGCTGCTCTCGTGCTGCTCCACCATGACCACAGTGGTGGTCAAAGCAGGAGGAAGGATCTGGTCAGATATGACCGCGATGAAGAAACAAGAACGGGAATAAAGTGTCAAATAAAGTGCCCAAATCCGTGACTCTCTCCAAAAGCACAGCTTTACTTCAGCTGATCCTTTTAAACTTTCTCTCTCTCTCTCTCTCTCTCTCTCTCTCTCTCTCTCTCTCTCTGTCTTTCTCTCTGTCACTCACTCACTCACACACAGAACATCAGATGAAGGGACAGAGATTTTTTTTTGTTCTCTGTTACCGTACATTTCCAAGTATTTTCTCATCTCTAATAAATATTGACATATTCTGAGGTTAACCGTTTATATTTGTTTTTTTTTTTACTTTTTTAAAAACTAATTTCATCAGATATTTTTTTTTTCAAATTTGTTTTTTCAAATTCTTCACAGTGTTCATAATTACTTATTTTATTTACTTTTTTTATATTAAAGTGAAAAATGGAAGTGAACTCCTTGTCATGGTGACACATCTCACCACTGCACACAATCAAATGTGACCTCTGTTTTTAACCCAGTGAACAGTGGGCAGCTTTAAGCACCCGGGGTCACGTCGTAAATTATATCTACCTATTGTTTCGCACTCAGTTTAGCTATAATTTTCTCAGTAGCACTTTTTCCATGATGTTTCAGAAGTTTGTTTCGTTTTTAAACGGTGCATTCGTGTCGATGTGCCGATGGCCCTGTGACCTCACAGACACTGTTAGTTTTCACAGCAGTGAATCAAAACACCGCTCAGTTCTACAGACTGACAGAAGCACTGCAGAGCTGCAGCCTCCCAACGTGAACTTTCCCAAACCTTCACTTCCTGTGAAAAACGCACACGCTCCGATCTTATCTGCCCTTCAAACTACACAACCGCTGGTTTTCCATGAAGTGACTGCACTCTTCTCACAAAGTCCTTGCTTGCTGTACAAAAAATATTGACCTCTTCAACCGAAAAGTTTTTTTGTTTTTTTTTTGTTTTTGCTCAGTACATTATTTTCTCTATACATTCACCAGAGGAAACTTCAGCTTCCTCTGCACTTGTCCTTTAAGTCAAGAAAACGCAACTCTTTAATGTAAATGTTGAGACACTGACTTTCTTGTCAGAAACATTTAATAATACGTTACGTAGTACTTACATCTACACAGTCAACCATTTACGGGCTAACATTCAGGCTAACATATAGCCAATTTCTTATACGCTTTTTTACTCCTTGTCGTGCTTCATTTGTCATTTGAATATACACAAAAAATGTTTTTACTAGTCAAATTATGTCTCAGAATTTGAAACATTTGTGTGTGTTTTTTCAGATAAATCACGGTGTCTCTGTGTTTTGTTTGTACATTTGAACATTTGCAGAGTGTATTTTGTGATAAACTGTACGTGATCAATAATGCATGCGTAGTTATCACGATCCCCAGACAGCAGCCCTCGGTGCTCGTTCTTTCATGACTTTGACGGGTTCCATATCAACACCGTCGTCAATCTACGACTTTGACAGCAGCGACTGTTACGTAACATCTGCATCAGCAGCAGCAGCTGATGGAAAACACACTGAGGCCTTTGTTATTTTGCAAATCTAGTGTAAAGACATTGTACTCAGGCCTTAGGTAACCAGGACCCACCGTATACATTTACTAAGAGCAGTTCTAGAACTGAGGAGGGTCATGATGTAATACCGTACTACTACTGTAATACTGTGTACAGCAGGGGTCTCTAACCGCCAGTCAATGTACCGGTGCCGGTCTGTAGGTCATTTGGTACTGGGTCGCAGTGTTACACAGTGAAAAAAATGTAATTCAGTGTTACTAATTTACTTCATTCAAAATTAATCCGGTCATATTCCTTCAATTTGTTTAATTCAAAGATAATCTGACAATGTTTCATTAATGGAACATTAATGTTCCGTGATAGATCATCAGGTGTACCATGAAAAATGACATTATTGTTTTTCTTTGCTTGTCTTTCTGACAGTGACTGGCAGATCAATGAAATACTGTTCCACTGGGGGGCAACAGATGGCTTTTAAATACGGAAGAAAAAACAGACCGGTCTGCTGTTAAAGAAGATCTTCATGTGTCTTTCTTCAATTCCTGTGAGTATGTCCGTATTTGGATCAAAGTTTTAAAACTGACGAAGTAAATTGAAACGAGAAGATCACTTATTACTAACATTTTTGTTTGAGTTTTATTAAAAATGAGTTTTATTAAAATGTTGGGTAATGTGAGCTGTAATGAAGCAAAAATATTTTTTTCAAACACGTCTCTAAAGATGGAAACAAATCACCTCGCACTTGAGTGAAAATGCATGGTCATAATTATTCTCCAGGACTCCCAATAGACAGGAATAATATTATTTTCACTTCACATAATTGGATGTTAAACATCACGTGTCAGTGCACATATATTCAACAATGAGAATGAATATTTTCATGTTTAAAGTGAAAATATACAGGTGTGGTCTCAACGGTTCACCAGTCGTACCTCAATATTTTTCTTACTGTGTAATATTTTTCGGAGGAGTATGTGGAAAGAATGTGTTTTCGGTTGACTTATGTTTAAAATCTTTAGCCTGTTTCCTTTTTTGACAATAGTTCAGTAGTGAATGATTCAAACGCTTCTGTCTCTATGGATTCCTCACTTGTACAGCAAACGGTTTCAATGATGAACAAATATTTCACATACATGAGTAAAACACTGCACACGGATGTCAAACTCAACGAAGTCATGGGTCAGAAAGATCGACTGCAAGTGTCTGTGTTGTCCCTTCTCTCCAGATCTGTAATGTTGATCCTGCTGGTGGATTGTGAGCAATTAAAATACACAAATTAAACACAGGTGGCAGCACTAGGTTCGATTCCCAGAAGAACCACATGTACCCAATGGCACCTCCCGCGTGGCAGCCTGTGAGTTGCAACCACGTATCGAACCGGAAACTGTAAATATCCCCATGGTGGGACGAATAAGAAACTCAATTATTCCTGTTATTATTATTTTTATTATTATTAAACCAGTAGCTCCCGTTTCCTGGCCGACTAAAATCATATATTTTTCATTAAACTGGAGTGGGACAGTAAGTTTAAAAACCTAAAGTTTTATCTAGCTTGTGAATAGATTTTATATTACATAAGAATTTGGCTAATTGAGTTTTAATTTGTGTAGGATTTTTTTTTTTCTTTAAAGCTAACCTAAACGTAGCTGGTGTTGAGTCGGAGCCCCATCTGGACACCTCGGAACACATCTGCGGTGTCCAGATGGATCAGACTCAAACGTCACCCCAAGGAAAAGTGTTTACAAATACCTGATACAAAAGGTAAACATACAGCGCAACAGCTGAGCTCAAGTCTCTGGTTTTCCTCTCAGTGGTTTTGTTTTCCCACCGTCTCCTGCACCTCCTTCATCACCTCAGGACTACTCACGAACTGATAGTGTCCGAATCTGCTCCGCAGTCTCTCCTACACCCAGCTGTCACTTTCCACACAGGAACACACCTGCGTGGTGTTTTTGTCATTCATACACCTGCCCCTGGCGTTAGCGTCATCGCCTCACCGACGTAAAAAAACACAGAGTCCTGCTTTCGAAAACATTTTTACTAGGTAAAAAATAAAGGTTAAATAAGGGAAAATCGTGTACTCATGTAGACATCTGGTCAAAATGTATTTCTTTAATGCAAAGGTTTTCAAAAGTGGGGGGCGCACCCCCTGGGGGGGCACAGTGGCATTGCAGGGGGACATGCAGATGGAATGAATTAATTTAATGTGTTGCAGCAAATTGTCCAATGCTGCAATGGTTTAACGAGAGACTGGCCAAAAAAAACTGATTGGTTGAAGGCGGAGTAAAATCAAAATCTGACAAAAATATTGGAAAAGGAGGCCGTTACTTTTAGTTCTCGCTCTCGTTTTTGGTGTCGCCCGTTTGATCTCACTCCTGCCGACTGACCAAAGTTGGCAATGCTAGCATAAAATAGGCAAATTTAGGGTGCAAAAAAAAAAAAAAATCCGGAGGCATGAAAAAAAGAAAAAAAGATCCTTTCAGAGCTCTGACAGTTGTGTGTGGACTTTGCGTTTTAACCTGCTGTGATGAACATTTTTAGTCTCACGTCATACAGTTCTTACAACAACAATATTTGATATGAACCTAATGAACTGTACATGAAAAACATCCATTTGTTTCCTGGCTGTCATGACCTCCTGCCTCCTTTAATCTAATCATTACTGTGTTGATTGTAAGACTCCCACGATCCTTTCTTAATTGGATTAAAATGACACTCATTTGGAGTCATAATAACATTACAGTATCCTGTGTCCTATTTGTCTACGTACATATTTGAACGAAGCATCAAAGTAAGTTGGAGTAAAAACTGTAACTGCACAACAACATCAAACATCAAAAACATCAAACTCAACTTTCTCCTGGAGCGTCATCTTCTAGGTCTGACAGTGGATCAGACATAAATGATTAGACTGCATTTGTTTTCTGCCGCGTCCTGACAGTTTACCATACAAACCAGGATAGCATACGTTACTAAAGGTTGCAGACAAGTACGGCCTACGGCACCACCCACAAAGTAGGAATATATTTAAACTGTGTAAGATTAGGGCCAAAGTTATCAAGGTTAAATAAGATGATCAAGATAAAAATGCAGTTGGACTTGACAAGTGATTGTTGTTAATGATGATTGAGATGATGATTGTTGTTGCGGTCATTATTTCCCGGACCGTCGTTCTTCCATCGGAACATTCAGAACTTAGAGACTTAACTCCCCCTGTCAGATGTGTATTATCTCAGCCCGGGTTTGTTTAGATCCTGGAGATGGTGTCACATTTTTGCAAACCTGTGGGATCAGAGCATCAACTCTGTTCTTGGAATTCTAAATTTCTGTTCTATAAAATGTCTGTTCATAGTTCTTTTTTTTTACCTCTCTAATGTTGTTTTCCCACCCCTTCTTTAGTACCCCAAATCTTTACATACCAAGACTTTCCTGGACTTCAGTTAAACACCTTCATCTCACAGCCTTTGCCTAAAGCTGTGGAAACAACACAGTCTGTAGAACCTACGTAAAAAAATGTGAACAATCGATGGAATACGATACGAAAAGATTTGTTCAACTTTATTCACTCAATGTTCTGGATCCAATTTTCTACTTTTGCCAGTTTTCCCGCCCAGTGATGGCCTCAATGCCAACTTTCATGAACGTTATTACGATTCATTCAAAGAAAACTGCGGCAGACATGTTTACATCTGGAGGTCAGAAGGTCACATGCTGTTCTTTTCATCTTTCAAACTCTTTTCCATACACGGTAATGTACCGA